CAGCGAGTCCTTAACTCAACAAATGAAGAGAGTTTGCTGTTTAAATTGCTGTTGAGAAGATGAGACTTGTCTAAGCGTGGACCGAATCTAGGAGTCGCACTCCCATTGCAGAGAAAATCAGGGGACGGATGATTTGAAAGCATTGCCTCTGCCTCGTGTTTTTGTGACACTTGACCTCAGACAGTAAACGTTACAAATTGAACCACTCGACACACGAAAGGTTCTGGGAATAATTAAAAAAAATATTTAGTAGGGCTAGGCGATAAACAGTATCATACTGTAATCGCAATCAAATTTGTCAATATCGCGCGCCTCTGAGATATGCTAGTCTCGCGAGTTTGTTTAATAGGAGCAAAGGAAGCAAAGCAAAACCAGTCTCCTCTTAGTTTATATCGAAATCCTCCGACATTTTTCTTTGCAAATCTTCGGTTTGTACTTCTAATTCGTGACCGGCATTTTGTTTTGTTCTTTCTCCGCATTCGTCACTAATCACGCAACGCCTCGCGTCTTACGTCATCTGCCGGAACGGCTTCTGCATATGACAGTCAGCGAAAGTGAGAGAAAAGTGTTTATTACGTTTGAAATATGGATATTTTTCTTACAAAAACTCATGGATTCGCTACAAGGGGCCTTTATTCGTCCCCCGGAGCCGTCTGCGGCATGTTTTATTATGAATGCGCAAGCTTTATTTGACGACTTGTGGACTGTTCAACCAACCACACGAAGCGAGAGCGGGAGAGAGAGAATCGACACGCTACCTATGGCGCTACATGTAAACGATATTCTTTGTTGTATTTTGCTGTCAAAATAACGGAGTTCCTTTGGAATTCTTCCGCTTTTAAGAACTGATGGACAACATATTTTATTTAACTGTTAAAGTTCAGTGTATTTGTGAAATTCACTCAATAAGAGTGCAGCGCTCTCAGCTTCAGCACGTTCTGGAGGAGCAGACATCTTTCCGCTTGTTACGATCGTAACAATTGTCCTGATTTCTGCGTGCCTGTACATGTTCAGCGCTGGCGCTCCTGGATAAACTACACAGGAGTGCTGTGAATTGTATTAGTGTGTGTTGGTGTTTTGGCACAACAGTAGTCCTGTGCTGTAGGCCTGGAGCGTTTGTCCGTGTGGAGGATTAAATTAGCAGCAGTTGTTTATCGTCCGTACCCAATCCATCTGTCTGGCTCAGTAGAGCCGGCGCTATCATACTTCAGTCCAACGGCCCGACCTCTCTCTCACACACACACACACACCCTTCCCGCTTCCCCAGCAGACAGTGAGACATTCCACCCGGTGTAACCTCCTCTGCCAAGAGCGCTTGGCTTTCCTCTATGCAGATTAGCCATGTGCTAATTGCAGTTATTTATTTTTTTTCCCTCCCTTTTTGGAGAGGGAGTGAGAGAGGAAGGAAATCAGCCATGGACGAGCGATTGATTGGTGGATGAGGAGGGGTTGAGAGAGTGGTGCCAAATAGCATGAGCTTCTCTGAGCCTTAACATTACTTCAGCGGAGAAAGTCTGTTAGGCCAGTGATTCACAGACACTAGTGATATTTGAGTCAAGGAATTTTAAAATCTACATGGAATCAAAATAAACTGCATACGTTACATTCAAAAGTTTGGGGTCGGGTTTTTAAATAAATGAATACTTTTATTCAGCAGGGATGGATAAATTGATCAAAAGTGACCGTAAAGGCATTGACAATGTTACAGAAAAATTATATTTTAAATTCAATTTGAATTATAAATTCAAATTTCAAATAAATTTGAACTTTCTATTAAAATAAAGAATCCTGAGGGGGGAAAAAAAAACCTTTCTTAGGTTTACAAAAAATAACGAAGCACACAACTTTTGTTCGGCATTGATGATAATAGAAAATGTTTTCTTTACAGTAAATCAGCATATTAGACTGATTTCTGAAGGATCATGTGACACTGAAGACTGGAGTAATGATGCTGAAAATACAGCTTTGATCACAGCAATAAATTACGTTTATAATATATAAAAATTTTAATTTCACATTATTACTGTTTTAAGTTAACTGCATTTTAAATTAAATAAATGCAGTGTAGGTGAGCATAAGAGTTTTTCCACAAAACATAAAAAAAAGAAATCCCAACCTCATGTGCTTTCTGTTCCCAAAGAAAGTGTTATTGTTTAATCAAATTGTAATAACCTCCAATAGGAAATATGTAAACCCTGGAAAGAAAACGGCACTCAAGCCATTTTTTTTTTGTGGAGATTATTAAATCCACACCATGGGTTATTGCTGTAAATGAAAGTATTTTTTTTTTTTTTTTTTTAACCAAATTCTTTCTTTAATTAGAATTTTACTGGATTCCAATTTAATGGTTTACATGAATAGCAATGATCAAAATGGTTGATTATTCTGTGTTATGTAATTGAATGTTTCTTGTAATCAAATTATGTCATAAAGTGCTGCACAACGGAGGTTTACGTAACCGGTGTTGCGGCTTAACACCTGTATCACCGTCAACACCGTCTATCGCGGCAAGCCTACATTATACTGAACAATAGTTATATTTATCACAATTTCTTCAAGTTAAACCTAACTGTTGTTTTGATGGGTTGCCGTGAAGAGATTTGTTTATGTATGTTATATGACTGCAGTTTCTCAAATTTCATTTTTAAATAGTCTGGTTTAATATTCACAGAATATTTGTGCTGACCTACTTCATTCAAAATTTGGCAAGTTCCGTGACATTCCGCATTTTACAGTAAATTCCATTCCGTGATTCCAATCACGCTTGTGAGTTACAAAACTGTATTTTGTACCATTTTGCACCGTTTGTCCATTAATCAACTGACTTCACACTGGAAGCATTGGTTGCAGCCCACAATGCTTATTAATTTGAAACACATTAAAAATATTGTGTTGTTTCTTCCTTATATTGAAAGAAAGGGTCCAGATTGACCTCAGATGTCAAGAGAGCCTTACTACAGCTGCTGGAGGAGCAGCGCTGGCTGAGGATGTGTTTTGGTAGCAGATGGGACCTGTTACCATTTCAGGAGTCCTGTCCTGTGTCTCTGTGCCTTCACCGGTCCTACTGATCTTTGAGAAGTGGGAAAGTGTGTGTGTTTGTGATTCTCAAGGGATGCAGGAGTCAAGTGGGTGCATTCAAACAGTTTAGTAAGTTTCAAAGTTACGCCGAGGGGTGGGCGGCATGATCAAAATATTATATCACAGTATGAGCAATTTATGTCATGGTAACTGTATGCCACACAATATAATTGCATTTTATATTATAATCTTATATAGTTTTCGCTGGAAAATCTAAAGATGCATTGTTTTTGGTTATTCAGAATACTTAAATACCACAAAATGCTTTACACAAATTTTTTTTTATTAGTATTTTTGGCGAGAGAGTTCGCCAAAAATATAAATTCTTTCTTCTGTTGAACACACAAAAATAAATTTTGAAGAAAGTTGGTAACCAAATTGTTTTCCCCTCATGCTATGTCAATGGCTACCAGCAACTCTTTGGTTACAAACATTCTTTAAAATATCTTATTTTGTGTGAAAAAAATGACAGTTTTCATTTTTTTTGTCTCAACTATCCCTGTAATTTATTGTTTGACAGCTTCATATTATGTTACACTTGAGTTCAAAATGAAAAACTCAAAACCTTCAGTTGTAGGGCTAAACAATAATTGATAAACTTATAATCACAGTTATTTAGCTCAAATTATAATTGGTATTTATTAATCACGTTTGTGATTTGAGGTTTATTTTTACACATCCACTCATTTGTATGTTTTTTTTTTT